CACTTATCCAACATGCATGAAGCCTGGATTCTAACCCCAGCCTTGTAAAGAGAATGATGCCGACCAGAAGACATTTTCAAGAACGAATGGCTGGCTGTTTGGAGCTGTGTTAGTTTGTGTTCTATTGCTGTGAAGAGAGGCCATGCACAACAACTCTTAAAAAAGAAAGCTTTTACCTGGGGCGGGCTTACAGGTCGGAGGTTTAGTCCATTTTCTCCAAGGGCAGGAAGCATGACTGCATGCAGGCAGACATGGGGTGGAGAGATAGCTGAGAGGTCTACATCTGGATCTGCCGACAGCAGGAAGAAGGAGACCCTGGAACCTGGCTTGGACTTTTGAGCCCTCAAAGCCCTCCCCCAGTGACACACTTTCTTCAACAAGGCCACACCTCCTAATCCTTTTAAATAATGCCACTCTCTGTTGACTTAGCATTCAAATATATGAATCACGGGGGCCGTTGTTATTCAAAACACCACAGGAGCCATGTTAGTTTTACTGTGAACAGTATGATTGAATTTTTATATTTTTAAGAATTTGGAGACAGGTGTAGTAATGCACAACTTTAGATCTAGCAGTTGGGAGGCAGAGGCAGGCAAATCTCTGTGAGTTCATACTCTTTTAGTATGTAGATACTAACCTGATCTACATAATGAGTTCCAGACCAAGTCTCAAAAATAAATAATTTTTAAATGAATTTGGGGTGCTAGGGATGTACCTTATTAAAAGAGCATTGTGAAACCTGGTTTGATCCCAAACACCACAAGTCTAATGAGGCTTTTGAAGGATGGTAGAAAAATCCCTCCCAGTCCTTAAGTGGTAAGATACAAGAGGGTTTTTTGTTGTTATTGTTTTGACATGATATATTGGTTGTTTGGTTTGATTGTTTAAGACAGGATCTTATGTAGCCCTGCCTGGCTTCAAACTCACTATGTACCCAAAGATAAGCTTTAACTCCTGACCCTTCTGCCTCTACCTCCCAAATACTAGAAGTACATTTGTACCACCATGCATAGCTCACGTGATGGATTGTTACTCCTTCTGTACAGTGGAGGACATTCTGAATATCTTTTGCAACATGGTCTGGACATCCCAACTACCTTTTTCTAATATGATCTTAACTGTAGCAAAGGCTTTTCTAGAAGTTGTTAAGAGGTTACCAATGCTATGGAGTGTAAACTGTTAAAAATCTGCTTAGTAACTTTGGAGAGTCACTTGTTAACTCAGTAAAAGTGAAATTAGAACACTTGCCACTTTGGGAAAGAAGAAACTTTGATTTGGATTCCTCTTAAAAGTTTAACTTAGAGCCAGGTGGTGGTGGTGCATACCTTTAGTTCCAGCACGCAGGAGACAGAGGCAGGTGGATCTCAGTGAGTTCGAGGCCAGCTAGGACTCTTTCACAGAGAAACCCTGTCTCAAAAAAAAAAAAAAGTTTAACTTACTTACTTTAAAACTATTTTAATTTTTATTTATGTATGTGTGTGAGAGAGAGATGGACAGATGCTGGAGGAGAACATCAGATACCTTGGAGCTGGAGGTAAGGCAGTTGTGAGCCACCTGATGTGAGTGCTGCCCAGTTCTTGTCCTGGACAAGAAGAATAGCCAGTACTCTTAACCACTGAGCCGTCTCTCCAGCCCCTAAAGCTCAACTAATTTAAATACCGTATCTTGAGATAACTTGCAACCCTGGTGTTTAACACAATTTTCATAGTCATATCTCAATATAACATTATAAAGATTCTTTTACTTCAAATATTACAGTCCAAAAATCCATCCCCTCATCTTACAGACACGTGCAGTACACTACACTAAGTGACTAGACATGGAGCAGGCTGGCCTGACTTCAGCATGTTAGGGCTCCACTTTTCCCTCAGGGTAGCCTCAGGCAGATTACCAGAATGAAAGCATTGTCAAGCATAGAATCAATTTCGTAGACTTTAACTTTTAGGAAACCAAGAAATGCGAGGTAAATTTTCTTTCTACTTTGAAAACTGTAACATGCTACTCTATGAAATTAGGATTCCTTAGTCTGCCATGGTAGCTTCCTATAATCTTAGCATTCAGGAGGCAGGGGATTGAGAGGTGGATCCCATCTGGGCTACGTAGTAAAAAGTAAAGGGTTTGGGATGTAGTTCAGTGGTAGAGAGCTTTCCTACCAGGAACAAGGCCCTGAGTTCAACCCTCAGCACACGTCGTGGGGAGGGGGCAATGAACTCCTCAGAGTTTTCATCTAATCTTTTTTTAATTTGCTTTATCACTCTCTCGGTGACCTTTCCAGACATTGATCTTTGACCTTGGCGTTGTCTGTCTTGTGTGTCAGGAGATGTCCTTCTATCTTTTCCCCAGAGCTCCCTCTCCTGGCTGCATGTCTTGTTTAGACTTTACATCCCACTTTAGAGAACATCCTATCCATAACTAAGTGAAATTGTTGGTAAATAGGAAGTTTCATTTTCTCCTCTGTTTGATGCTTTGGCTCCTTTTCCTTCAAAGTAAGAAGTTCACCTTTAGCCTCCAGTGTTGTTGAGAAGCATTTTTACCTGTAGTTGTTTGTAAGGCTTTCCTTCTCTGGGTTACCTCGGTCTCCCTTAGCTGATATGCTTGGCACCAGAAGTGTTTTTAAATGTTGTTTGTTTGTTTTCCCAGATTGTGGAATTTTTAGATATATGTAATGAGATATCTTGTGAATGAGCCCAAGTCTGAAAAATTCATTCATGATTTACATATATCTTATACACATAACCTGATGGTAATCTTACACAGCATTTTTAATGTGCCAATGTTTTGCCTATAGCCAACTATGCGGTCGGGTGTAGAATCCTCCACTGGTGACCACATGCTGACACTTTAAAAGTTTGAGCCGGGCGGTGGTGGCGCACGCCTTTAATCCCAGCACTCGGGAGGCAGAGCCAGGCGGATCTCTGTGAGTTCGAGGCCAGCCTGGGCTACCAAGTGAGTTCCAGGAAAGGCGCAAAGCTACACAGAGAAACCCTGTCTCGAAAAACCAAAAAAAAAAAAAAATAAAAGTTTGATTTTTTTGAAGCATTTCAGCTTTTACAGTAGGGAATCCTCAAACTATCTTCGTTGCTTCCAGGATTCTAAGCTTTTACAATGATGTACTATTTAGCAGGCTCTTTGACTATGGAAACTCATGTGCCTCTGTTCTGAGGGGAAAAAAATACTGTTGAAGATAAAGGCAGTATTAAGTGATAGTATTGCGTGAAGAGTTAGGTAAAATTAGGATTTTATTTTAAAATGTATTAGTCTCTAACCACATCACTTGACTGTTGAGGTTTTTAATGTTCTGAAATTAAGAAGCTTAATCATAATTAGCATGTTAAATGACTGATTTTTTTTATGACAAATACAAAATTCAGCTTTTAGTTGCAAAATATTTGGAATTATAGGACCCTGCCTCTCAATTCCTAGCTTAACTTTTTTTTTTTCTTTTTGGTTTTTCGAGGGTTTCTCCGTGTAGTTTTGGTGCCTGTCCTAGTTCTCGCTCTGTAGACCACGCTGGCCTCGAACTCACAGAGATCCACCTGGTTCTGCCTCCCAAGTGCTGGGATTAAAGGCCTGTGCCACCACCGCCCGGCCCAGCTTAACTTTTGCTTCACTTGAAAACACTTATGTAGGGACTGGAGAGATGTCTCAGTGGTTAAGAGCACTGGCTATTCTTCCAGAGGTCCTGAGTTCAATTCCCAGCAACCTCATCTCTAATGAGATCTGGCGCCCTCTTCCAGCATGCAGGCAGAACACTGTATACATTATAAATAAATAAAAATCTTAAAAAAAAAAGAGCACTGGCTGTTCTTCTAGAGGACCCAGGTTCAATTCTCAGCACCTGCATGGTAGCTCACAACTGTCTGTAACTCCATTTCCAGGTTAGCAGACACCTTCATGCAGGCAAAACACCAGTGCACATAAATAAAAAAAATTAAAAAAAAACCTAAGTAGGGCTAGAGAGATGGCTCAGAAGGTAAGAGAATGTGCTGTTTTTGTAGAGGACCTAGGTTTGGTTCTCAGCACCCACAGCAGGAGTCTCACAACCACCTCTGAGTACAGTTCAGGGGACCTGATACCCTCGAAGCTTCCTCAGGCACCTGCATGTACATGGTGCACACAAACACAGACTTCAAAATACTTACATAAGTTCATTATGAATTCTAGTGTGTGTAGCCAAGGGATGCCCTGTACAAAGTTACCTGCTTGTTTTCAAGTGATCAAGAATGTAAGAGTATTATGTGAGTAGAATACTTCTAAAAACTGCAAAGACTGATAATGATGGAACTAGTTATTGGAATTAATTGGCAAAACTCTTAGGAATATTTACTTAGCATTCCTATTGCTCAGTAGTAATTGTTTACTTAATAGATTCATGTTACACTGTACAACTCAAAATTGTTGGTATTTTAATCAATAGAAATGGAAACAAGAGAAGAGACAATACAGGGTATTAGTTCTAAGCACTAGCTCATAGATTTGTAACCGCCTCTTCTCATTAAGAATTCACTGGCCTGTTGTGAAATAAGAAAAAGAAAGTGAAAGTCAGATGTTGTGACACATGACTGTAATTCTAGTGTAGAATTGGGGGCAGAAGCAATGTTGCAAGTTTAAGGTCAGCCTGGGCCACATGGAGATTTCTAGGTTGGCCAAGGCTACATTGCAAGAACCCTGTCTCAAGAAACCAATAAAAGAAAAATAAGGGAAGGATAAATAGGCATAAGGTAAACTGCAAAAGTAGGAATTATTCCTATCCAAGCATGTGTTATTCCTGAGACAGGACCCATACTGAAATTTAGCTCTGAGAAAGGACTCCATCATCTTACCTTCATGGTATGAGGAAATATTATCCCAGTATAGTAGAGCAGCGCCGTGACGTGGGAACGGGATACCCGCGGCTGCCTGACAGCGTGGCAGTGTCCTTTCATGGACTGATTCTGCTTTTTATCTTGTGTCCAGTAGATGAACAGGCTGCTAATGACTTCCTTTCTTCTTTTTCTTAGATTCATCCAGAAAGTGCCCAGAAGAAACTTCCTGTCAGAAAAGCTGAAAATGCAGTCTTGCTAACACTGGAATTTGTAAATAATTTGTTCAAAATGGCTGAAAACAATAGTAAAAGCGTAGATGTGCGGCCGAAAACAGGCCGGAGTAGAAGTGCTGATGGAAAGGATGGCTATGTGTGGAGCGGAAGGAAGTTGTCTTGGTCCAGAAAGAGGGAGAGCTGTTCCGAGGCTGAAACCATATGTCCTGGAGAGAAGGCTGAAGCTCCTGGAAGGGGTCGAGAGAGGGAGCACAGCTGCTCATCCATTCAGCTGGACTTAGACCACTCCTGTGGGCACAGATTTTTAGGCCGATCCCTTAAACAGAAACTGCAAGATGCTGTGGGCCAGTGCTTTCCAATAATGAATTGTAGTAGTCGGCACTCTTCGATGCTTCCATCTAAAAGAAAAATTCATATCAGTGAACTCATGCTAGATAAGTGCCCTTTCCCGCCTCGATCGGATTTAGCCTTCAGGTGGCATTTTATTAAACGACATACTGTTCCTGTAAGTCCAAACTCAGATGAATGGGTGAGCACAGACTTATCTGAGAGTCAAGTGAGGGACGCTCAGCTAAAGCGAAGAAACCTAGAAGAAGACCTGCCCTGTTTCTCGCATGCCGGTGTCCAGCCTTGTGTCGTAACTGCCAGCGCTGCTTCATGTAGAGGTGGCCACATAACTGGTTCTATGATGAACTTGGTCACAAATAACAGCATAGAAGATAGCGATATGGAGTCAGAGGATGAGATTATAACCCTGTGCACAAGCTCCAGAAAAAGAAACAAGCCCAGGTGGGAAATGGATGATGAAATCCTGCAGTTGGAGACACCTCCCAAGCACCACACCCAGATTGATTACGTTCACTGCCTTGTACCAGACCTCCTTCAGATCAGTAACAATCCATGCTACTGGGGTGTTATGGATAAATACGCAGCCGAAGCTCTGTTAGAAGGAAAGCCAGAGGGCACCTTTTTACTTCGAGACTCGGCACAGGAAGATTATTTATTCTCCGTTAGTTTTAGACGCTATAGTCGTTCTCTTCATGCTAGAATTGAACAATGGAATCACAACTTTAGCTTTGATGCCCATGATCCGTGCGTCTTCCATTCTCCCGACATTACTGGGCTCCTAGAACATTATAAGGACCCAAGCGCCTGTATGTTCTTTGAACCACTCCTGTCCACCCCATTAATCCGGACCTTCCCCTTTTCCTTGCAGCACATTTGCAGAACAGTCATCTGTAATTGTACAACTTACGATGGCATTGATGCCCTGCCAATCCCTTCTCCTATGAAACTGTATCTGAAGGAATACCATTACAAATCGAAAGTCAGGTTACTCAGGATTGATGTGCCAGAGCAACAGTGATGGAGAGAGGTTAGGAATGTGGACTTGCACACATATTTTCATTTAATATCTTATTTTTCTTATGCCTCTTCGAATTTTTCTACAAAGGCAGTTAGAATCCAAAATAAAACTGCCCTAAATTTTAATTCCAGATGAATTTATTTTTCTTATGATACACTTGTTATATATTTTTAAACAGGTGTCTGGTTTTTGTTTTTAACTGTGTAAATTATATACTTTTCCACTTAATTTACCTATGGTCCAGGCATATTTGAAATTTCAAGGCATTACAAATACATTTGAATATTCTGTATTTTTTTTTAAGTAATCTTCTGCCCTTTCCTAATGTGGAATATTTTGCTAATCTACGCTATCAGTATTCTTGTATGGCAGAATAGTTAGTTATCTTTCCCATTTTCATTTTAAAATTCTTCAGTAAAGATGAGTGTTGTAATCCGTCCATGATAATGTAATTGACTTTTGTAGTTGCTAATAGGAATGTTAGGCAACAAAATGCTTTAAAGTGAAACTTAGTGTGTTTTCATTTTAAATATTAACTAAAGCAAGTTTGTTTGTTTTTTATTAATCTGGCCAATGGAAAGAGAATGTTATGATCTAGAGGTGCATTTGTTCGGCAGTATGGCAGGATTGTCAATAGATCCAAATACAGCAGCCCTTCACCCTGGAAGAGGTGAATAACATCATAATGCAACTTGGATTCCTTTCTTACTAGAAGCTTTACAGATAAAATAGCAGTATTAGAAGCTTGGAGTTGCTAAGGCAACTAGAGTTTTTCTATATTAATTTATGGTCTGTTACATCTACTTAGCTGTTTCTTAGGAACTCTGGTTCCCAGGGGCACATAGGCAATTTCTAAACAGCTCCTGTATCCACCAGTAACAAAAAGACCTGAATAGTTTCTCATTATTTTAAATTGAACTTAAATAAAGATGCAAACAAAACACGTGGTTCAGTATTTAGGAAGCTTAATATTGCTTTTGGCCTTCACAACCTAAATAATTATTTCTGTCTTCAGAACTAACGTATATTTTATGTAGCTTCAAAAAAGAGAAGACATAGCAATAGCTCCAAGATATAACATACTGGACAGGAAGACAAAATAATATTTCACATTTACTATCTTAAGGGCAGCACAGAGTTTTAGGACCGTCACTGGCCTGGAGTAACCAGTAAGAAAGACACGTGGACTGGTGCCCTATTTCTTTCTTCAGTGACTGACCACAGATTGCCCAGTTTTCCTTGTGATAGGCCGTCTGCCCCTTTTAAATACTGTAGTAATTTTTATTTATTTATTTGTGTGTGTGTGTGACAGTGTCCATCCATGTAGCATAGGCTGACCTCAGGTTTGAGATACTACAGCCTGAGTTTCAGGATTACAGGTTTGAACCACCATGAAGAGCTAGTAATTGATTTATTCCTCTTGCTTTTCTTTCTTTTTTCCTTTTTCTTTCTTTTTTGTTGCTGTTATTATTTGTTTTGGTTCTGTTGTTGTTTAGTTGGTTGGATTTTGTGTTTGTTTGGTTGTTCGTTCGTTTGTTTGTTTGAAACAGGGTCTCTCTGTATATCCCTGGCTGTTCTGTAGCTTGCTGTGTAGACCAGGCTGTCTTCGAACTCACAGACATCTTCCTGCCTCTGCCTCCCAAGCACTAGGATTAAAGCGTGCTCTACCACGCCTGGCTAGTAATTGATTTCTTGATGCTAGTTCAGCTGTATTAGAAAACTTGCTTCAACCTGGATTGACAGGACATTGCCTCATAAGTTTCCAAGTTAAAACAAATGTTTCTTGCTGCTATGGTGGTGTGTACCTGTAATCCCAGCACTTGGGAACCAGAGGGATGAAGGTTGCTGTGAGTTTAAGCCAGTCATGGCTGTATGATGAGAATATGTCTCAAAAATTTTTTTTCCTTAATTCTTGTTGCATGTATATTAAAGTAGCCTTTTCTAGTGTTGGGAGGCTGTTAATGTAAAGAAAACATTTTCTAGCAATAGCTTTTACTGATCATGGTAGTTCCTGCTTGTATTCCCAGAACTTGGGAGACTGAGGCAGAAGGATTACCATGAGTTCTGGAACAACCTAGGCTACAGAGTGAAACCCTGTCTCAGTAACCCCCCACAAAAAAAACCCTAATAGCTTGCCAGGCAGTGGTGGCACACGCCTTTAATCCCAGCACTCGAGAGGCGGAGGCAGGCGGATCTCTGTGAGTTTGAGGCCAGCCTGGACTACAGAATGAGTTCCAGGAAAGGCGCAAAGCTACACAGAGAAACCCTGTCTCAAAAAACCAAAAGACAAAAAACAAAAACTAATAGCTTTAATTTTTTCACCAATTACAAAATGAAAATGGAGCAAATGGTACCATTCTCTTCTAGAATTTTTTTTCCTTAGTGGTCTAAAGATCGTCTTAATTTCTGTGAGAGGTAGCCACTCAAGATTGCCTCTTAGAGATGTAATGAGGCTCAGGCTATGAACACATGTCGGATAACTACACCTCCAAAGATGATGCTGACCCTTCCTGAAAGTGGAGTCTCCGACTACCTCATCTTTGCTGTGGCATTTTTGAAGTTGCTGAGATACTCATCTTATTAACCAGTATAACATTTCCTAAGTCTCCATCTTTGGTGGCAAAAGATATAGTGTGGTAAGACTCTACTCATAAATACAGCTTTTTATCAGAATTTGATAAAACCTTCTGTTTCTGTGAAACAATTATTTTTAATATTTTTCTTTTACAAGTAACTTTTTATCAGTACAGAACTATCTAAGGGATGACTAGCTTATGAATATTCTGTTAAAAGGTAGTTTTATAAAGAAAAGTAAAATATAATTATGTCTTTTATAGTGGTAAAATTAGTGTTTATATGAAAGTCAAGATCTGATTAGCTTTTAATATACTTCAGACTGATTGCTTATGATATATTTTCTCTGGCTTTTTTATTCTTTTCAATTTCAAGGTATTAACAACTGTTAATATTTTCAGAATACTGCCATATGTGTAGCTTGGAAGTGTGTATTAAGTGAGAACAGGAGAGAGACTGATTTACGCTGAAATGTCCTGTATCTTTCCTTTGGTACTTACTACAATGAAAAGAAATTGGAAAGTAGAGATTTGTAAAGACTTGAGAAGAGAACTAGTTATTGTGAAGGGAAGAGAAAAGAGTGACAAAAATATTAGGGAATTTGAATTTAGAGAAATTAACCCACTTTCCCTGTGTTTTTGTGAGAACATCTATATTCACCAACTGACTCGTAAAAAAAATTAAATGTATTTACTGAGTTAAATAGCTAAAAATGAATAAATTTTATGAAGTACACAAGTCTAAGTTAAACGGAAATGTTGTAACTCTTGAGTTGAATTTTGAACCATTTGAATAGTGTCAATTCCAGTTGAAAAGGTGTCCAGTGCAGGGCTTGGTGCATACATCTTTGATCCCAGCACTTGGGAGACAGAGGCAGGTCTCTGAGAGTTGAATGCCAACCTGGTCTACAGAGTGAGTTCCAGGCCAGCCAGGCGACATAGTGAGACCCTGTCTCAAAACAAACACAAAAAAGAAAGAAATGCAGTCGGTATGGCAGAAATGTGTAGAGTTTATTTGTGAGAGAGGATGGAGCTAAAAGAAACAGGATACGATATTAAAATTTAAAAATTTAGGCATTACCTCAGGGAAAAGCCTTGCCAGGGAAAGGGAACTACTTTACCGCTAATAGCTCGTCTGGACCAGACACTAACTGCCTTGGGAATCATCTGCACAATCAGGAAATGAACTTGACTTTCCCATTTCTCTTGAGGCTTTTCAGGACAGGCCCTTCTGCTCTTCACTAAACCTACATCTTGAGTAATGCCGGCATTCCTGAAATATCCTGAATGGGTTCTTTTTAGTTTCCTTGGGTGTTTTTCTGTGAAGAGTTACGTGATCTTTCTAATACATAACCGTGTCATTGGCCTGAATAATTATATGGAGAGAGTGTGTTAATTTAAAAGGAACCTGAGAGGAATATTAAAGGAAGCTTTTAGACAGCCTGTGACTAGATGTATTGATTTGGTGAACAAACTGTATTCTTTGCTGACTTCAGCTAATGGCTAACTGTGGTCAAAGGATGGCTTTCACTTAATGTTTTGACTTATTACAAATAAGATAAAGAATGTTTTAGTAATTAGAAATCTTTTAAAATATAAAACAAATGTACAAATAAGACTCATCGTCTTTTTATAAGAAAAACACATAAGCCTTTATCATTTATTCATGAGCTAAAGCCATTAAGATAAATCAGATTATCAACTTCCTGTCTCTGAAGTTTGGGTTGTTTTTATAGATCCATGTAACAGAGCACTTCTTTCCTGTGAAACAGGTGCTGTGAGATCTCTTACCTTCTTCTCATTAAAGTATTTGTCACTTTTAACTATAATCAGAATCCAGTAGACAAGCATATTTTTATTTTGGCAGGACAAATTTCACAGACTATAGACTTAATTTTAAGACAGTCCTGAACATAAAACAATATTTAAAATAGCCTATTTAGCCAAGTGTGATGGTGCATACCTTTAGTCCCAGCACTTGGGAGGCAGAGGCAGGTGGATCTCTGTGAATTCCAGGCCAGGGCTACATAACAAGAGCCTGTCTCAACAAAAAGAAAGAAAAGAAAATCAAAAGAAAAAAAAAGATGAAGAAAAAACGTAAAGTAATGGTTATCCAGTGGAAAAGGCTTTGGGACAAAACTAACTCCAAAATAGTGTTTCTAATTTGTAATCTGGAATGGATTACTCAATCCTAAATCCTCCTTTGTCTTAATTGCCTGTGAAACGTAGGTAATGGTATTGTCCCTTGGTTTCCTGAAAGTTCATTCACTTAGAGATATCCCTTGGAGCACAGTTGAAAATAATTTCTCAGTAGCTATACAGTACTGATTGAGAATGATCAGTTTTCAAAAAGCACCTTTGTGGCACGTACAAAATCACATTCACTCAGTCTGTAACAGGCTTTCTTGACTTGATCTGATAATGGAACAATTTGGGTCTATGGTTCAAACTCTACAGTTAGATGATTGCAATTTCCTCCTGCCTTTCATAAGATCTGTGTAAACTGATTATTTGCCTTATTTAGAAAGCTGATTACATTTGCAGGAAATAAAGGTAATTTTTGCCATGGTCATAAATCAAATCTAAGCTTTCAGACTTGGGAGCCATGGTGTAAAACTCAAGAAAGTTTATTTAAATTTTGATGGCTTTGCTAGAATTGCATCATTTTTTTATTAGCCAAGTATGAACTATATACACTTGAATATACAGAACCTAATGATTTCATAAAGCTATGTTGTCAATCATGGTGTGTGACCCATACTATCTCCACTTTCTAATCTTGACAAACATTTGTGGGTTTAAAAAAACTTGATCTAAATAAATTTTCACTTAATTAAATCTTCATGTATGAAATCCAAAAGCTTTGTTGTTGTTTTTTAAAGATTTGTGTCATGTATGTTAAATTCAGGAGCATACCTTGATACACTTGGGAAAGTCAGAGGACAACTTTTTGAGGGCTAATTCTCCTATGGTTTGACTGAGGTAGGGTCTCTCCTTGTTTGCATCCAGCTTCACCACAGGAGTGCCAGAATTACAACTGCTGGCGACAGCATCTGAGTTTTCACATGGGTTTAGGTGATCAAACTCAAGTGGTCAGGATTTTTTGGCACGCACCTTTACCTGCTAATCTAAAACCTTGGCCCCAGCCTTGTGATTTGTTTTTCAGTTCTTTATTATTATTGGGGGCTGGGGGAGGTGTAGAGGGAGATGTCACATGGCAGGTGTGGAGGTCAAAGTACAATTTGTGGAGTTACTCATCTCTACCTTTACCTTCATTCCAGGGGTCAAACTCAGACTGTCAGGTTTGTCCAGCAAGCACTTTAACCAGCTGAGCCGCGTTTCTGGCCAGTGTTTTTGTTTCAGAAAGCATTCCTACCTTTGAATGAAAAGGAGGACATGACCATTCCTAGGTGTGGTTGAGGAGAAGGGTTCTATTGTAGACAGGAGGGAGAGAACCTCTAGAGGCATCTGAAGGGTCCAAACTTGTAGCAGACTTTCTTGGACCACCAGCCCCCAAATCATGACACAGAGACTTATTAATTATGAAAGCTCAGCCTTAGCTTAGGCTTGTTTCTAACTAGCTCTTAGAACTTAAATTGACCCATTTCTATTAATCTGCATGCTGCCACGTGGCTCATGGCTTTTTACCTCTCCTGTGTGTGTCCTACTTCCTCTGTGTCTAGCTTGCTACCCTGCCTTTCTTCCTCGCCAAGTCTTCTTCAGTCCCCAGAAGTCCCACCTAACCTCTTCCTGCCTAGCTATTGGCCCATTCAGCTCTTTGCTAAACCAATCAGAAGGTGCCTTAGGCAGAGACACATCTTCACAGTGTACAAAAAGATTATTCCACAACACAAACTGAAGCAGGCCATGGGGAGCAGACCAAAAGAACAAAGGACTAAGAGGCCAAGAGCAGGCTGGGAGACCAAGAGAGCACTTAGTCAAGATGGCTGGGGTTATGTAGGTATCAGGCTAGGGAAAGGAAGGGGCAGCCACTATCCTGGAGAGGCTTAGAGTGGGAGGCACAGTGAGAAGTGCTGGGAGGGACCACAGGTCCTGAGTTGAGACTTGTCCTGCGTTTCCTGGGGACTTTGCATACCTCATATATTCAAATCAAAGGCCTGGAAAGGAAAAATTGAAAAATTTATAGATATAATTACATTTTGCTTTTTGATAAATCAGTTTTGAGTCCACAAGAACCAGAAGCCAGTCTCAAAATCCACGGCTCTCATCTATCGCAGTGGTTCTCAACCTTCCTAACGCTGCAACCCTTGAATACAGTTCCTCATGCGGTGGTGACTCCCAACCATGAAATTATTTTCATTGCTACTTCATAACTGTCATTTTGCTACTGTTATGAATTGTAATATAAATATCTGATATACAGCCCCTTTGGGTCATTCGACCCCCAAAGGGGTCGTAACCCACAAGTTAGGAAGCACTGTTCTCAAAAACTTAAAGGGAATAAGATAGCTCATTCTGGAGCCATTTTGAATGACGGTGCCAAAACACAAATTTAGGTTACCTCAACCAGTATCAAGAAGTTTTTAAAGTTTTACAGAACAGCAACGTCATAAATCAAGGTAAGTTTAAAATACACTGGTGGGCTCGGGAGGCAGAGCCAGGCGGATCTCTGTGAGTTCGAGGCCAGCCTGGACTACCAAGCGAGTCCCAGGAAAGGAGCAAAGCTACACAGAGAAACCCTGCCTCGAAAAACCAAAAAAACAAAACAACAACAACAAAAAAAAAATACACTGGTGGGTACATTGGAGAGACAGGTACATCAGGATAGAGGAGGCTTTATAGGCTTAAGATACCCACAGATGACATTCATAGCTTTTGAATTGGTAGAAGCTAGTTGTCTGTTAAGTTAGTACATTCTGAAAGGTTTTTATTGCCACAAGATGTTAGTTTCGACGGAGGCGGGTAAGGATAGGCCGCTGTTCTGGAGGGCTAGAGCTAGGTAAGGTAATTAGCATCTGGACCTGCAACATTCCAATCTTTCCACGGCACTGAAATTCTAATTAGCCACTCAGTCTCTGCAGACATAGATTGCTCTCAGAAGTTGTCATTCATAACCCCTTTGCAAAGTTGTCCCCCTTCCCTCATCTTTTAACCCTCAATTTTGGCTGGACTGTAACAGCCAGCTTGGAGCCTGGCTGCAAAAACCGCTGATCGAAGGGAGTCCAAAATCTGCTTCTAGCCACGGGCTTGCCTTGAGCATCCCCGGCCAGAGAGGTTTTCGTTGAGGGGTCTTTTGAACTCAGGAAGCGGTGAAGCTTTCCCGCGCTCCACTCAGAAAAAAAAAAAAAAAACCCGCCCTAGCTCCTGGAGCCACGCGGTCCTGCCTGCAATTTTGCGGGCGGCCGGCTGGGGGCGCCGGGCGGGGTGGGCGGAAACAACGGGTGGCCCGGCGGGCCTCCGCGCTTCCCTTTCCGGTGCCAGGAGGAGCCGTGTCGCTGCCGCCTTGGTCCGTCAGGCCTCCGGCCGGTTCTCCATTGCTCGTCTCTCCGGACTCCTCGCCGCCACTGTGCCGCGCCTAGGGCTCGGATCCTGCCGGGTGAGTCTGCTTTGGCGCCCGCGGGGGGGCCAGGGGGCGCGGGGCTGGCGGGAGACGGCGCGGAGACGCGGGGTCCCCGGGGGCCGGGCGGCTCTGGAACCTTCGGCGGCCGGCCGCCTCAGAGGCTCCTCCCGGGACCAGGCGGCCGAGGGGTCTGATGTAGCGCCGGTCGGATTCCCGGGCGACCGCGTCACGCCAGGCTTGTGGGGGGTGGGGGTGGGGCGGGAGCGGGCGACCCTCCCCCACGCTCCCGCCGGCGGGACCCGCCGGGGACCGGTTCGCTCCGGTTGATCCCGGATTCCCTTTGTTCGCTTAGCCCTAGAGAGCATCTCGCCTGGCTCCCCTTGCCCCGTGCCCCGCCACCGGTATCCCTGCCGCTGATTGCTAATAAAACCGGCGGTGGAGGAGACCCGACTCCTCCTTTACAGGAAGGTCTGGCGCCTGAATAACTGTGCGACAAGGTTCTTGCTGTTGGTAATTACCCATTCGTGAAACGACTCCCCGGGACAGAGTGTGCCGAGGGCCTGAGTACCGTTCTCCATTTGTACGATTTAGGCGCAGATACAACGCTTGAACCATTTTCCTCCCTGCCTTGAAAACCGAAAATAATGTTTTCACTAATCCTAATATTGAATCAAACCAGACCCCACCTTAGATCCATTACAGCCTGCTGTGGGTATACACACACGTGTACCCCCGGTGTGGTAAAGGCCCGTTTTTGAAGCCAAACCCTCATTACCGGGGTCGTCTTCGAAAGTCTTTGTTTAGTGGTGCTCCTTCGCTAGGGAGAGTAGTTTTCCTATTCATGATGTGTAGGAGCCACTCTGCAAAACTAATTTGCTTCAGAAACTTTTTAATGCAGTTGCCGAAGTTGGAATGTGCTTTTTGATTGCAGAAGGAATCACGATGTCCATCTTCATTCTCTTAACTGAGGTTGAGTCTTGAGGCCAGTATGCTTAGGAATTCAGCAATCTTCAGATTTTGTAATTTATAAAGACTGTTATTTCAGAGGAGAGGTAACACCCCTAGACTCGGGGGCCGTTAACCCAGTATTAATAATTTGTACAGACTGGGCCGGTTGTTCAAGTAATTGAGCGTGGGCCTGGCCTCCTGTGAGGCCCTAAATTCAGTCCTCAAAACTTCAGAGAAAGGAAAAAAAAATACTGCAGTCGTAAATACTCATAGCTGGGGGTGAATGGAAAATAAAATGGATAAATACAGTCAGGTCACCTTTTGACACCAAGTAAGTTTTGTGCCATACTTAAGACAGGGGGTTGCATTTTCTAAGCTTTCTGGTTTGAAAATAGACAAAGGTTTGTGGTCACATTGTAGTAGCTGTGAAAGGTAACGTATGTTGAGTTTTTGCTCTGTGCTAGGCAGTGATTTAAGAGATTTGTTTACAGATTTATGTAAGCCTCAGCAAATCTCTGGGAAATAACCATTGACTCTCCTTCATGAGACTCAGCTAACTGGATTTGACCAGAGGCCAGACAGAGAGTCTACTCCATTACCTTTGTGCACTGTGTCTAAACGAGAGAAGGGGAAGATGGGGCCGAGGAGTGGAGAGATGGACGGCTCAGGTTAAAAGCATGCACTGCTTTGGAGAACACTGGAGTTCTGTTCCCAGCATTTACATGAGGCCGCTCACAGTGCTTGTAGCTCCAGCTTCAGGGAGTTCTGCACTTCAGGCCTCCTGCATTGACGGGAACAAACCCATATATATATATATTTGTAACTTAAAAATAGCAAGAAGAAGCCGGGCGGTGGTGGCGCACGCCTTTAATCCCAGCACTCGGGAGGCAGAGCCAGGCGGATCTCTGTGAGTTCGAGGCCAGCCTGGGCTACCAAGTGAGTTCCAGGAAAAGGCGCAAAGCTACACAGAGAAACCCTGTCTCGAAAAACCAAAAAAAAAAAAAAAAAAAAAAAAAAAAAAAAAAAAAAAATAGCAAGAAGGAGAATTGGATTGTTGCTTATCTATTTTCCAGGCACTGGTTTAGTTGCTTGGTCAGATGGGGTCCTGTTTAGTTCCCATGTAGCATTACTGGCCCATTCTAAGTATGTCCAGAAACAGAAGTGGATTCAAGTAAGCTATAAAGTTAAAGGATTTGGATCCTTGTCTAGAGACCTCTGCTAGAACTTGCTTTCTTTCAGTATTCCAACCAATCTGAACCACGGCTGCTTTCCACAGACTGTCCGTTCTCCCTCCCAGATTTATACAAACTGTTCTTACCCTGGAGCCTCTCTTTAACCTAAGACTCCCTTACTTCTAGACTGCAGAGACACCAAGAATGTCTATGCCATGCCACTAATTACCCCCAAAGTCCAGCAGTGTGTCACACTTGGGTTCCAATAAATATGAATAATTTATAAAAGATACTAGGAATTTTTAAATGTTCAAGAATGTCCCATGCTTTTTTACTTACTCATTTTTAAAATTGAATATAATCTGATAAATTAGCCAGTACTGAAAGCTGACTTAGATTCTAATTCAGAATCTGTGTTCAGTATAATACACTGTTCTCACTGTTATGAATTATTACTCGGGGACCCCACGCGTTCAGGGAAACATGCTGGCGTACTGGGCAGATGCAGCGGCGGGCTGGACGGTTGGTGATCTACACCATGGGGCCATGGTGGTGGGACAGCGGGTGACATGCACAACCCAGATGCTACATTGCTCGGAAATGGTTTATTATAATAGAGAGGCGAAGAGAGGATAGGAAAGAAGCGGGGGGGGGGGGGGGTATTGTGGGGTGCATACCTCGTGAGCGTGGAGGGAGAGAGAGCAAGTCAGAGTTTTTCCTTAAGAAGGGCTTCTGCTTCAGGACACAGGGTGGCCCCAAGGGGCGGGATCAGAATATTAACACTCACACTAAAATCACAAAAGTCCTGATTTTCCTTGGTTTCTCTGAATTTATATATCTGTGTGTATGTGTGTCTGTCTGTCTGTTTAGATTCTTGGTTGATGAAGTGTCCAGGAATTGCAATTTTTACAGATGTTAAGAAACCTGCTTTTGTCAAAAAGGATTGATGTTTAAGTGTAGAGTTGATAGCCTTCTGAAGTATTGCTTGCCAGTTGTCACTAATAACTCAATGGATTTTAGCTTTCTTTTTTTTTTAATTTTATTTTATAATTTAATTTAATTTTACATATCAGCCACGGATTCCCTTGTTCTCCCCGCTCCCGCCAAGGATTTTAGCTTTCTTAAACTTTGGATGGGATGATTGCCTGAAAGACCATAGAAATTACTGATGTATTGTATTTTTCTCTTCCAGTGACTGGCAAAAGATACTTACACTATATTTTTCTACTTTTATTCCTAAGGAAATAAGTCTTTTTCAGCCTGGGAACAATGAGACCCTATCTAACAGGGAGGAAACTGGGAAGCAAGGAAAGCAAACAGCACTGCCTGCCCATACCTTGTTCTTGGAGGAGAACCGGTGTTCGAAATAGTAATGGAGAGTTTGGGAAGTAAAAGCTTTCAGTTGTGCAAAAGAAAAAAGTGTCTTTTTTGAGTTTGAGCCTCAGATGTGTATGTGGCACAGGCTAGCCCAAGTTCCCAGCCCTCCCGCCTCAATGCCATGGCCTCCAGAAGAGTATAGGTGTGCCCCATCTCACCTAACCTAAAAATACTCCTGGTTCTAAACTTCTTCTTTTGCTTTTTGTTTTGTTTTTTATTTATTTGGTTTGATTTTTTTCGCCCTGGCTGTCCTGGAACTCGCTCTGTAGACCAGACTGGCCTCAAACTCAAAGATCTGCCTGCTTCTGCCTCCCGAGTGCTAGGATTATAGGTGTACACCACCACTGCCAGGTTCTAAACTTCTTTTTTTATATGCGAAAATTTACAACCACTTCATTGGCATTAGTACAGTTGGGTGTTTGATATAGTACAGTTGGGGTTTTGATATGAGAAAACCTAGGTGTTGTGACCTTCTGCAAGGAAGCTCCAGCATCGTACTGTTTACCTCTCTAGAATGGTGGGACTTAGGAGAATGGGAATGGGGCCAGTAAGTGAGGTGGACTGAAGTCTCATGCAATAATCCACTTTATTCAGAGCATCAGACAATTTATACACTGGAGGGTTAAGAGGAGTCACATGAGTAAAATTTATAATCATAAGGGAAAGCTGTATTCAGAGAAAATAAAATGTGTTTTCATAGAGGTACAAACAAATAACAATAGCCAGTTGTAATGAATAATCTGAAGTAAACTCACTCCTATCCCATCCAACTGGGAGGGGCACAAAAGCATATCCCAAGAACAATTCTGTGTTTTTGAAGGAGCTGAGGTCACAAGACTTCTTGTCTTGGTTTCTTGGAGTTTTCTCAGAAGCACTCAGAAATCTCCTCACATGACTGTTCTTACACCGTGTTCTGACATCTTCCCCCTTTTGATTCTTTTAAATGCAAGATACCCAGAGTGGTTTTGTTTTGAGACATTGTAGATAGATCTAATAGTCATTTGATGCATGATATCCTATAAGCAAACAAAGTATGATAATATTAGAACAGTGAAATCATTGTGTGTAATACTCTGCCACCACGAACAGGAATCCAAACTGTCCAGTACTATTGGTTACATTTTATTGATGGAGAATAGCTTGAAAAGAGACTTATGACTCTGGTATCTTGTAGAATGTAAGCCCATATTTGCCTTTTAATAGAAAACAAATGTTATAATGTCCTATGCAAATAGAAAGTGATTTAAATCCCTAGGAAAAATTAAACTGGATGAATGAGTCTATTATAGTCTCAAAGTCCATTCATAAATACAGAGTCATTAGTGAAGGAACCTCTCCCTTGGTGCACAGGTCATTAACTCGGCCCCAGGTTGGCAGACTTGACTTCTGATAATATGGTTGATACCTCCTTTTATCCTTTAGCTGGAGGTTTGCTATCTTTCTGGTGACTTTCAGTGTCTCCTAACCCTCCACTGCCATTGAATTGATGGTCCTCCAGCCAAAGAGGAATGCATGATCTTTCAGTGACTCCATGTGCGA